ATGAGGGTAGTTGTTGCCACGTTATACTTATGCTGGGACATGGCAACATTGCAAATAATACAAACATGGTTACATTCATCTGCTGTAATGTGTCTCAGTAGTCATAAAGGTAGTTGTTGCCACGTTATACTTGTGCTGGGACATGGCAACACTGCAAGTATTACAAACATGGTTACATTCATCTGCTGTAATGGGTCTCAGTAGTCATGAGGGTAGTTGTTGCCACGTTATACTTATGCTGGGACATGGCAACATTGCAAATAATACAAACATGGTTACACTCATCTTCTGTAATGGGTCTCAGTAGTCATAAAGGTAGTTGTTGCCACGTTATACTTGTGCTGGGAAATGGCAACACTGCAAGTATTACAAACATGGTTATATTCATCTGCTGTAATGTGTCTCAGTAGTCATAAAGGTAGTTGTTGCCACGTTATACTTGTGCTGGGACATGGCAACACTGCAAGTATTACAAACATGGTTACATTCATCTGCTGTAATGTGTCTCAGTAGTCATAAAGGTATTTGTTGCCACGTTATACTTGTGCTGGGACATGGCAACACTGCAAATAATACAAACATGGTTACATTCATCTGCTGTAATGTGTCTCAGTAGTCATAAAGGTAGTTGTTGCCACATTATACTTGTGCTGGGACATGGCATCACTGCAAGTATTACAAACATGGTTACATTCATCTGCTGTTATGTGTCTCAGTAGTCATAAAGGTAGTTGTTGCCACGTTATACTTGTGCTGGGACATGGCAACACTGCGAGTATTACAAACATGGTTACATTCATCTGCTGTAATGTGTCTCAGTAGTCATAAAGGTAGTTGTTGCCACGTTATACTTGTGCTGGGACATGGCAACACTGCAAGTATTACAAACATGGTTACATTCATCTGCTGTAATGTGTCTCAGTAGTCATGAAGGTAGTTGTTGCCACGTTATACTTGTGCTGGGACATGGCAACACTGCAAGTATTACAAACATGGTTACACTCATCTACTGTAATGGGTCTCAGTAGTCATAAAGGTAGTTGTTGCCACGTTATACTTGTGCTGGGACATGGCAACACTGCAAGTATTACAAACATGGTTATATTCATCTGCTGTAATTTATTGATTTTTTATTGTTTATTGAAAAGGTTTTATTGATTGCACTTCGCAGCCAGATGGCTGAATTATGAACAATTTACATTGGCAATGAATTATAATACATACAAATGTGGTTGACATTGTCACAAAGTATAATATACAGTATATAACAAAATTCATAACAAAGTTCATAACTAATATGACGAAGGCAATAACAGTCAAATTAATTCACGTTTAAAATATATTTTGTGAGGTGACACAAGAGTAGGTCAAAGGATGAGCAAGCAGGCCCTTTGCTCTTCAATACACGCTCTCATTCCTATACACGCTCCTATTCTCACTCCTGTACCTTGGACACTCTCATAAACACTCACATTTACACTCCTATACAAACTCCCATTCACACTCCCATACACTAGCTAACGGTCTGCTCGCTCATCCCTGGACCTCTCGTGTCAAGGAGTGTCGGGTATTTAAAAAAAATAAACAACAAAACAAGTAAGCTCCTTCCCGACTTTCGTAAATTGGGGGGAAATAAGCAAATGAATTAAAAACTTGAACACCATTTGATCTGAATTGCCATGTCATGATTGCTACAAAACCTTATCACTATTCAATGTACATTTTAAAAAGATATTACAAGTAATTATGGAAGCATAGAATTTAAAATTTAAAATGCGGAATGTAAAATGTAAAAATGTAAAAATGTAAAAATGTATGCAGACAATGAGACACCGGACCATTCAACAGGTAGACAATTAAGATTCATTCATGCATTCAACAGGTCTATAAGGTATGGAATTGAGCTATTTCTATAGCGGTTCGTTTTACAATGAAATTGACGATACTTGGTCCTTCTTCGCAGTGAATAATCTACATTATTGTTAACAGGTAACCAATGTTTACAAAGTGGGTTGTTGACAAGAGATGAAGCAAAATTAGTGCATAATTGTTTGCGTCTATCTGACAGGGTCTGCAAAGAACACACTTCAAGAGCTTTGTCATAATTAATATATTGATCACCTAGTATGGTCCTACATGCTCTTTTCTGGATTCGTTCTAAACTTAAGATATGACTTTGGGTGAGATTTCCGTTAAAAACAGGTACTCCATAATCCAATATTGGGCGAATATATCCCTTGTAAATTGTTACTAGATCACAGAAAGGCAATCTGTATGTTTTGAGAATACGAAGCATGAAAAGTTTTTTATTAGCACGGCATAAAAGGTCTGAGATATGACTGTCCCATTTCAAATCGGACTGCACAGTTATTCCTAAAACTTTTGCTTTTTGTACACTGTTTAAGCACTCATCCCCAATAAACAAAGGTCTCTGATCAGCTATATTCTTAGAAAAAGAGATAAACATACAATGACATTTCGATGGATTAAGAGTCATGTTATTACGAAGGGACCATTGATAAAAATCAGATAAAGTATTTGGTAATTTAGATGGTTGTGATAATGTACGACTTTCAACTAATGTCAGATCGTCTACATACTTGAAGTATGGTACTTCTGAGTTAAAACAAGCATCATTTATCATTATTAGGAAAATAATTGGTCCTAATTTTGTACCCTGTGCTACACCGGCATGAGACGTTGACCAGTCTGAAAAATGACCAAGATATTTCACACGTTGTTGACGGTGTTCAATAAAATCTAAGATCCATGAAATAATACAAGGCCGAACATGAAGGTGGATTAACTTATTGGCAAGTATATTATGGTCTATACGATCAAAAACTTTTGAAAAGTCTGTAAATATAAGTGTAGATATGGACCGAGAATTTTCTGCATTTTTATAAATCTGGTGAAGCAAACGAATTAAGTAATGATTAGTTGACAGACCTTGACGGTTTCCGTATTGATTAATATCAATTTGAATTGAAATGTCTTCGAGTAACCATTTACATATATAAGACTCAGCTATTTTCACAAAAATAACTAGTTAGTGCTATAGGTCTTAAATTCTGAGGTATTACAGGCTTACATTTAGGAATTGGTGTGATCTCACATCGTTTCCACTGATATGGTACCACTGACAACTGGAAAGAAGTGTTTAAGATATCAGTAAGAGGTGTACAAAATTCCAGTGCAAACTCTCTAAGAATTCGCACTGGTAAGTCTCCACTTATAACAGACTTTTGTTGGTTTAACGAACTCAATTGTTTAAAAACTTCATAAGGTCGTACAATCGGACATGTTTCCTGAGCTGGTAAGTAAGCAGGTAAATCATTCCTACTAAGACCTGGAAGATCGGATGCCACCGCTAAAAAATGCTCGTTTATATAATTAGCAATATATTTGAATTTGTCGGGGTCATTCGGGTCAATATTTGGTACTACAATTGGAGTATGTTTCTTTTCAGTATTTGTTAAAATCCGAATCTGCTTATACCAAGCTGCTGGGCTGTCACTTTTTAAGTTGCGAACTCTGGTGTTATAATATGAAATCTTCTGTCGTTTTATCAACCGTTTAACTTTGTTTCTAAGATGATGCCACAAACTTTTTGATTTGTTATTAAAAGCTTGCTGTCTTTGGCGGATAACATCTTTAACTTCAGCATTTATCCAAGGCTTATCTCTACAATGCAAACGAATCTCCTTAGTAGGAACATGTATATCCAAATGAGACTGAATTGTATCCAAAAACATTTTACATTTCATAGATGGGTCTTTTACACTGAACATCTCTTCCCAAGTATACTGAGTTAACCAACTACCAAATGACCTTTTTCCACTATCCGGAATAGGGCGAACAAGCTTTTTCTTTACTCGGTTACTGCGATTTATCTTATCTTTGGGTATCCAAAGTATGCAGTTGTGGTCACTCATACCAATAGGCGGCAATATTTCCACTTCTTTATACAATAAAGCAATAGTGGTTACAATCATGTCAAGAATATTAGACCCTCGAGTTGGTTGTGTAACAATTTGTTTAAACTTATTATTTTCAAGTAAAAAGGTAATATCTAAATCATTAAAGTCACCTACTATTGAAATTCCAGAATCCGGGTAGCGAAGTAAGAGGATATCAATAGCGGAAGTTAAATGATCAATGTACTGCTGCACATTTGGACTTCTTGGAGGGAAGTAAATGACACACAGAATCAAACCTGAAACTTCCCTTGGTAATCTTTGGGGTCTCATGTATACCCATAAGGCTTCAACCTCTTTCGGTACAGGTATATCAATTGTTCTCGCTTGAAGGTGATGTCTCGTGTAGAGTGCAACTCCTCCTCCTGGTCGATCTTCTCTGGATCTTGAATGTAAGGTAAACTCTGATAATGCATACATATCTAGTGGTATATCGGAGCTGAACCACGTTTCGGTGATGGCTGCTATGTCCACTTTATGTTCTTCGATGATTAGGGATAATTCGTCGAACTTGTTCCTCAACGATCTGGCGTTATGTAAAAGTAGTCATAAAGGTAGTTGTTGCCACGTTATACTTATGCTGGGACATGGCAACACTGCAAGTATTACAAACATGGTTACATTCATCTGCTGTAATGTGTCTCAGTAGTCATAAAGGTAGTTGTTGCCACGTTATACTTGTGCTGGGACATGGCAACACTGCAAGTATTATAAACATGGTTACACTCATCTACTGTAATGGGTCTCAGTAGTCATACAAGTAGTTGTTGCCACGTAATACTTGTGCTGGGACATGGCAACATTGCGTATTACAAACATGGTTACACTCATCTACTATAATGGGTCTCAGTAGTCATAAAGGTAGTTGTTGCCACGTTATACTTATGCTGGGACATGGCAACACTGCAAGTATTACAAACATGGTTACATTCATCTGCTGTAATGTGTCTCAGTAGTCATAAAGGTAGTTGTTGCCACGTTATACTTGTGCTGGGACATGGCAACACTGCAAGTATTATAAACATGGTTACACTCATCTACTGTAATGGGTCTCAGTAGTCATACAAGTAGTTGTTGCCACGTAATACTTGTGCTGGGACATGGCAACATTGCGTATTACAAACATGGTTACACTCATCTACTATAATGGGTCTCAGTAGTCATAAAGGTAGTTGTTGCCACGTTATACTTGTGCTGGGACATGGCAACACTGCAAGTATTACAAACATGGTTACATTCATCTGCTGTAATGTGTCTCAGTAGTCATTAAGGTAGTTGTTGCCACGTTATACTTGTGCTGGGACATGGCAACACTGCAAGTATATATTACAAACATGGTTACACTCATCTACTGTAATGGGTCTCAGTAGTCATACAAGTAGTTGTTGCCACGTAATACTTGTGCTGGGACATGGCAACATTGCAAGTATTACAAACATGGTTACATTCTCCTGCTATAATGTGTCTCGGTAGTCATAAAAGTAGTTGTTGCCACGTAAGACAAACGCATGTGTTATGGCTTATCCTACCTAACAACGTGTATTATGTGCAATTTGCATTCTGCCTGTGAAAATAAAATTCTTCGAAACATGGGGATGAAATTATTGATTGTTTGATTATTATTATTCACGATTATTCTGAGTTTTGTTCTGCTCATTCATACATAGGTCTTTTCTCATGTACCACGAAACCGATATGTCCATACTCTGATATACCAGGACAAGGTAAGTAAATGCATCAGTTTACCAAGATAATAAGGGATTACAGAGGGAATATGCAACAGTGTGATTACATAAATGTAACAGGAATACGGGAGGTGGAAAGAGTTTTGGACAGAGAGAGTTCTTCAATGTAAAGGGAATGCGTGACAAAGTAAGTTCGGGACAAAGTGAACGCGAGACAGATGGGATATGGGATAGACATGACAGAGGGGATGGATACCGGGATTACTGGAAAGGAGCAATACAAGAACAGGAGGGATGCCGTATATAAAGAGATTATGGGACAGAGGGAATACAGAGACAGAAGGAATACAGGGACAGAAGGAATACAGGGACAGAGGGACTACATGGACAGAGGGACTACATGGACAGAGGGACTATACAGGGACAGAGGGAATAAAGGGATATAGGGAATAGAAAGACAGAGGGAATACAGGGAAACAGGGAATACAAGGAAACAGGGAATACGTGGACAGAGTGAATACAGGGACAGAGGGAATACAGGGACAGAGGGAATACAGGGAAACAGGGAATACAAGGAAACAGGTAATACAGGGACAGAGGGAATACAGGGACAGAGGGAATACAGGGACAGAGGGAATAAAGGGATATAGGGAATAGAAAGACAGAGGGAATACAGGGAAACAGGGAATACAAGGAAACAGGTAATACAGGGACAGAGGGAATACAGGGACAGAGGGAATAAAGGGATTTAGGGAATGGAAAGACTGAGGGAATACAGGGAAACAGGGAATACAAGGAAACAGGGAATACGTGGACAGAGTGAATACAGAAGGAATTTTGAGTATGTTGATGAATAAATAACATTTGTTTCAGTAGACGCTTATTGTCTTTTTTTTTACTCGCTCGCTGGCAAAATTTAGAAACGGCAAGGTTATAGAAAGGTGCATGAATTCCCCATATAACCATTTCAGTAAATTTACTGTCTGAATATCGTCGTATCCTTGCAGCAAAGTACCCGAATATAATTTATATAGTATTTTTATCGTAAAATGTTGTTTTTCTATTAAGTGTTTTTTTTCCCTCGCTCTCTGTACATAGTCGCAAAATTGAAAACAGGATGATTCTTTCGGGTATTGAGATGCCAGAATATGTCATTTCTTATCGTATTACACTGATGGCGAAATATTGATTTAACATATTATATTACAAGAGTAAATTGGCAATGCGTGAAAATCATGTATTTACTGATTAATATACTTAAACATATGCTATATAATGTGTTGAGTTATTTGGAAATTTCACGCATTTTGTTTATGTCATTAAAAATAATTGCTAGCTCAGCCGCTTATTTTTATCTTCATAAAATGTATTTATTCCTCAACATAAAGACAAGACTATCGAAAATAGTAAGTATGCTTATTACTCATTAACGCATTAAAAAAAATATGAAACTGAATATTTCGATAAATTACTTTTTGATCAAATGAAATACTTTGTGAATAAATTGTTTTCCTAAAGGTTTTTGACATGATGATACCACCACATATTTCTTGTTATACAGTTGGACAGAGAAAACTTAATTTGAACGAAACAACAACAGCCCACGCAGAGGAACACGTTTTCGGACCCTCTGCGGGAAAAGTTCGGACCTTTGTGAAACGAGCCAATGAGATTCTTCTTAAGAAACTCGTCGATCCCAAGACTGGAAACATTACTCACGTTGATTGGCTCTTTGATCAAGTCCTTAACCAGGAAACAATGAATATAAGCAATTATTGGTATCTTCCGGGTGGACATTGGAAACCAATGAACTGTTTACCGAAATGGAAGGTAAATATGGTTCTGATTTCTTAAGTGAGTTGTGTTGTCAAATATAAACTGATGACAGAAATATCGATTTAAAAACTTCACCCCTTCATAATGAAATTTTCTTTTATTAACATTTTCATTTCAGTTTTCATTTCAGATCAATGGCAGTTTATATCTCCTCCTCTTATTACGCTCTCTCGCATAATACAATCTAGTTCTAAGATATAAAAGAAAAATTGGGACCTACAAATATCTCATAGACAGAGAACTAATCGTTTGTTTACAAGAGCGAGAGAATTAACATTCACAATAATTTATGGTCGTGAAATGGAGGGAAGTGGAGTAGATATATGGTGCAAACTGTGCGTTTGAGAATCCGATGACCGGATTAATTATATATGTAAAGCGTTTAGAGAAGGTATTTCGTGTTTAGCACTATATATCACAATCCAGATTCATTATCATTTTGTATTATTAAAATAAAATGAAGGGTTAGGTTTTTAGTGGGAGACACCATTTGCTCAGAAATATTTAAGATGTTCGTTCTCCCCCACCCCCCATTTAGAATATACAAATTAAAAGACAGAGAATAAAAAAAGTGTCTAAATTATGTTCTAACGCTGCTCATAACTACCAGTGTGATAAAAGTACTCTAAGTACATATTAATAAACCCATCAATCATTCAAGTCGCATGACACATTACTGAACTATAAAATTAAATCCTTGAAAAACGTTCGACGTTCGCTTTGCCCTTTTCTCACTTGAATGTTTTACGTCCTTCTTTGTCCGTTTAGGTTGCTATTTTAATACCATTTCGAGATCGCTTCTATCATCTTCCCATTCTTCTGCAAAACCTGATACCGATGCTTCAGAAGCAGCTACTCGAATTCAGCCTTTTTGTTGTTGAGCAGGTCTGTATAGTCGTCATCTTTTATTTCATGTTATGCTCTGGTATTAAAAGGGACGTCGATCTTTGAAGGGGAGGGGGGGGGGGTGCATTTGCAATTACCGAGAAGTGATTTCGGAATTACATAGAATTGGGGGCACTGTGGTTTGTTGATGAAGGCTCTTGACTCTTATACGAGAGGTCCTGGATTCGATCCTGGCTCGGTGCTTAGACCCTTGGGCAAGGTGTTTTATCCACGTCTGTCCTTCTTGATCCAGGTGTATCAAATGGCTAGCAATGCTGGGGTATTGATAAATGTAGGGACTTCAGGACAGTATTTATGCTGATGAGACTTTTCTTGGTAAATAATACTGCCTTCATTATTATTGATATGATTATTATTATTATTATTATTATGATTATTATCATAATTATCAGTATCATTATCAGTATTTGTATGAGTAGTAGTAATGGCAGTAGTAGTAGTGGTAGAAGTAGGAGTAATAATAGTAGCAGTAGTAGTAATAATAGTAGTAGTATTAGTAGTAACCTTATTATTGCAATCACGAATATCGTCATTGCCTTGTTTTCGTTCACATTCTGCCCCATTAATTGCAATGACGAATTTCGTCATTGCCTTGAATTCTTCTTCTCCGTGTTTTCCGTGTTGTTTTCGTCAGGAAATCACATTCGTTTTGCCCGAAGTGCTTGTTATCACTAGTTATGCCCTTTTCTCATGTTCGTTTCCTTTCACATTTCATAGGCATAGTCTCTAGCATCTCATCAAAGTCACTAAATTCTTCGATTTTCAAAATCACTAATGCATAACCGCCCAGGCGCCATTTTGTCCGTTTTTGGTCCGTTTTAAGGTCTTTCTTCCTTCCTTCCTATCTCCACTATCCTAGATCCTACAGAGTTCTAACAAATTATCTAAATAGTCCAAGATATGTGCTTTCATCTGCGACGCATAACCTGACCTTTAATATGCCATCTTTGAACTGCAAATTGAAATCAGAAACCGACTCCGTCAAAAATCTCTACACTGTTTGAAAAATGAAACCCTAAAAATTTAAAATTGCCATAACTTTCTCATAACATTTTCGTTTCGTCTCAATTTCTTGCAGTATCTTTATCTCATAATTGCATAAAAGCTATGCTGAATTTAACGCTCCAATGAATATGCAAAAAAAAAAATAGTGCCCTCTAAATTTCTGGGAATTGGCTTTCTTTCTGTGGCCTGGCGTATCTCCATCATTTCTATCGAAACCCGTACCCTTTTGTGGATTTAGATACTTGAAGATATGCCCTTTCCAGCCAAGTACAAACTTATGTACCCTAACGCTGACCAAGTTAGAGAAAATTGCCCTCTAAATTCGCCATTTCCAAGAAAATTGCGAAATAACTTCAACTTTAGCTTTAAAATGTGTGTATGCCAAGTTTCATTGACGTAGGTATAATGATCATTATACCTACGTCAATGAAACTTGGCATACACATATATCCAAGCACGTGACAACTTTCGGCGAAATTTGGTAAAATTTGATGACGTCAGCGCAAAATTATTGCCCAAACTTATGAATTTGTTATGCATTACGTAACAGTCCGTAAAATGCTGCTGAGTTTCCGCCAAGTTATAACACGTATCGGCTATGACATCATCTTTTAGACTGCTTTTCGCCCCCTTCCCGTCCTTTTTTTCCTTGAAATTTTGCAGTGATATTCCGAGTTGCAATACACTTCGAAGCCGGATCGTCAAGGGGGCCAATCAAGACGCCATTTTATACTCTGCATGATTGTAGTATGGGCGGCTGTTTATGCCACAGCACGCGTCACCACAAGTTCATCATGCACCAAATCCTATTGGTTTTGTACGCTGTGGTTACGGGTCCTTTCTAGGTCCTTTCCACTATTCCAATTCCCTTCAAACTTCGTAGGCATAATCTCTAGCATCCCTTCAAGGTCACTGTATTCTTCGTTCTCCGGAATCCCTCTTGCGTGACCGTACAGGCGCCATTTTGTCCGTTTTGTATGCCTTGCTTTCGCTCTACCTATCTCCACTATCACAGAAGCTACTTCTTACAAATCGCTCTGGATAGTTCGAGAGAAGCTCTTTCGTTTGAACCGTAGAAACACGTGCGTCATTGCACGCACATCGTTGTGACACGATTGCATGTCTAGTTTTATCTTTATTGTTGTTATTATCATTATTATCATTATTATTATTATCATTATTATTGTAGAGGTGTCGTGGTCGAGTGGATATGTCACCGGACTATGGATCACAAGGTCCGCGGTTCAAGTCCCGCCACGGCACTGATGTCCTTTGGCAAGACATTGATCTACATTTGCCACTCTCCACCCAGGTGTTAAAATGGGTACCCGGTAGGATGCGAAAGCTAATGTGGTTTGATTAGCAATGGCGCTTGTAAAATGGCGACTGGCTGGAATACTCCCCAGGGAGTGGAGAATGTGCATACCTTGTGTGCGGGTAAGCCTGAATCCGATGACCGGGGTAATAATATGTTCCGCGCCTAGAAACAAAGTATTAGGCGCATTATAAATGTGAGCTATTATTATTATTATTATTATTATTATTATTATGGTTATTTGTATTATCATTATGATAGTTATTGATGGCATTACCATTTTTTCATTTTCATCATTATTATTATAATTATTCTTTTTAGGTGAGCCAGCTGCTGATCACAAGTTGATTTTCGCCAGAGTCTTTAGACATTGTTCTTTATTTGTATATTCTCCCTTTCTGTAAGTTTTTTTATGGTCAGAATTTTTCTTAAAAATCGCACAATTCGATAACCATCAATTTTTTGCCCCCTGCATATTGCTCTGATTGTCTCATTTTTGCTCGCGTGAACATTGCCAGCACAAAACACTGACCTCTACCTCCTGGACGGATCATCGCCCATTCCCATTCACTATACGTTACGTACTAAAAGGCTGTATTGTCTGATCTTTCATGACTATTCAGGCAAAATGTTTGCTTTTACTAAGTGGAACAATTACGGTGGGGGTTGGATAAAAATTGACATAATGAACATAGCAGAAGTGATAATTGATAATTCATGCTTCTCATCCTTCGTGTGCTTGACCTATAATCTTACAATCACTTGGCAGACTGAGTCCAAAGTTCGACTTGTTTCACGTGTGTATTATAGGCAATGGCGAGCTTGCAACCTATTTTGAAAAAATACGGCGGGTGAACTTTCAAAAGTCAATGAGACATGAGGGCTCCAATGAAAGAGCTAGTGATAACGTACGTCGGGGTGGATGTGCTTTTCGTTTAAACAAAAAAATGAATTTTTAACGATTTTTAAAAAAATCGTCCATAGGCTAACATGTATGGCTGCTGACTCTGACGATAGGGGGCGTTGTGAAATGAGACTAAACGGAGCTATATGGATTCCCTTTGGTCAGGATTAGAAAACCTCCCGGTCTCGGTGTAATCACTCAACCGTGACGTCATCTAGGCGCCATTTTCTAGAATCAATCATATCTTCATAACCAACCACAAAAACTTGATCAAAGTTGATACACATAAACTTCAGGCCAAGGGGCAATATCAGGCATAATCAAGTCCGCGCATATTCGGCCCGTTTACACATCCAATACACCATTTCGATAAACCGTCGAAATTTGCTCATACAGATTTTTGGGGTGAGTAGTTCGCATGCGCTATTCGTCGGTGCCCTACATGAATACGCACGAAAGCGAGGAGAGTTACGTGAGCAAAAATCGGTATCTTCAATACCGAAGTTTTCATTTACACTGCAAAAATCGGTGAAAAATTCGGCAGACGCTTCAATAAAACGACACTTCAGAGGCCGATTTTTCAGTTTCGATTTTTCGTCGTGTTTGCCGGAGTTGCTTTGCCTTTCTATCTTAAATTCGTATCAAAATTCAGATGATTCACGTTTGGATTCATATCCAAGACTAGGTACCCCAACCACTTGTGTCCTTGTGTCATTGCCACGACGAACAGGAGTGGATATACATGTAGACTATCGCCTTGCAAGATTCCTCTCTTGATACTAACTTATCCGTGCACTTCACCATTGCCTTCCAGCACAGTTTTTCCATCTTGTCAGAGTTTTGCTGAGGAACCTCCTGATTTGGTACTCCCAGTATTCCCATATAGACTCGGAGATCCAGGAGTATGGAACCGTGTCTAGCAATCGTCAATCTATGCCACTGTCAAGTTAATGTCCTTTACTTGCTGCCTTACATCACTCCTTTGTCGATGCATGTAGTTGATACTTTGTACCCCTTGCTTTCTCTTGCACATTCCTTCTTTCAATTGCCATGTGAATATTGATTAATCTCTTACGAAATTATTCCCATTAACATCTTCCAGAGAACCGACAAGCAGGTGGTTGGACGATAGTTCGATGGTACATTACCTTTGGGAAATCCTTTGGGATAAGAAGACTGTTCTTCCTTTCGTCGTTCATTCTGATAGGTTTCTGCTCACAAACATCTCCTCCATTTGCATCATCAGCCTCTCGTGGAAAGTTTTGAATTATTAATCCATAAGGCCTGCTTTGCGTCTGGACCAGTGGCCTTCTACGTGCCATCTGAATGACCGTTTCTAGCTGATTCTTGTTGATTTTCAAGTCACCTTGGGGAAGCACATTGGCACATTCCTGTTTGCTTCTCTTCAACCACTGAGCTTCTCGATTGTGGTATTGTTGTGGTCTCCAGATGCTGCTCCGGAAGGCAATTATAACTATCGGTTCTAGTGATGGGAGTTCGTACTTCCATTGATTTCTTGCTAGAACCTTTTTTGTTGTTGTAATTTTTGCTGAATCATGGTATCTTCCCTGTACTGTACTGTCAGTGTATTTCTTCATTTTTGCCGTGGTTCTAATTATTCCTCTATCCCCGTCTCCTTTCCTTTTCCCTGACCATCAAGAAAATCTTCCATTCTTCTATGACCATCCCCAGCTGAATCTCCGTCAGTCTCGATAAATATTTTCTCCATACCTTTACCTGTTGTTTTCGAATCTTCTCTTCCGTGTGGGTAGGGGAGGGATTAAGATGTTTGTTCCGTTTTTTTTACACCAATAATCTCTCTTCTACCAGGATTGGTCCAGAATAGATAATAGTATTGGTAACCGCAATGATATACGTGATGATTAAACACTAGACCTGTAATGATATTGGTGATAGCGCCAGCTATCAGCTATCGTTGAAAAGTATATTCAGATCTAAATATGATGCCAATAGAATCGTACTCTGAACTGTAAGTTGAGTCTCCAAAGTTGTCTTTATTTAGCCTCCATAATATAAGGCGTCATATTACATGGTATCAGAAGTAAATCATGAACATATAATTATGATTTGAAATGAACTGTATGCAGTGAAATGTTGTTAAGTCAACAGAAATTGTGTGCGATTGACGATGGAATGCTGATGTATTGCATGCACTGAACGTTACGTGCATGAGTCCCCGCAGCTCGACGTCCAGAAATGACCGGCTACTACATCGTGGAAATGCTCAATTGACGCTGTATTGAAACTGAGCAACCTATAGAACTGGCTTTAAAAATCTGTTTAAGTTCGGCATACCTGAGTTGAGATTGATTTGGGGTAACTTGTGAAAGATGGAGCATATTAAGCCACCTCGATCTTTAGATCTGGAAGCCAGTAACGTTCCTCATGAATGGAGAAGATGGAAGGAAGAATTTGAATTGTATTTGGATTTGATCATGGATGAAAAGGATGACAGCAAGAAGTGTGACTGAACCAGTGGTAGTAAGTGTAGATGCTTCTAAGAATGGTGTGGGAGCAGTGTTGTTGCAAAATGAACGACCTGTCGCATACGCATCCAAAGCATTCACTGACAGTGAGAAGAATTATGCTCAGATCGAAAAGGAGCTTGCTGCAGTGGTGTTTGGTGTTGAACGATTTCATCAATATGTCTTCATGAGGAACTTCGTGGTGGAAACTGACCACAAGCCCCTTGAAACAATCATTAAGAAGCCATTGGCTGATACACCACCTCGACTTCAAAGAATGTTACTGAAGCTACAGAAGTACGACCTGACACTGCAGTGTAAGAAAGGAACACTAATGCATTTTGCTGATGCACTAAGCAGAGATTTCAGTCCCCTTACTGAAAATAATGACAACCAAGGAGATGTAGTCATTTGAATGGTAGACTGTCTACCAATGACACCAGAGCGAGTAGACGAGATGCAAAGAGAAACCATGGGTGATAGAGTACTGCAGAAACTCAAAGCTGTAGTTCAAGAAGGTTGGCCTGCAAACCGTTCAAATGTTGACCCTGAGGTTTGCATGTATTGGGACTACAGAGATGAAATCACCATCGAGGAAAACCTGCTCTTCAAGCAAGGTAAAGTGATCATTCCAGCCAAATTGAGAAAGTTGATATTAACAACGCTACACCAGGGTCATCAAGGCATAGAGAAAACAAAGAGATTTGCCAGAGATGTCATTTGTTGGCCTGGTGTGAATGCTGAGATCCACGACATGGTCAGCAGATGTGAGATTTACAGTAGGCATCAAAACTGCAATTCAAAGGAACCATTGATGAGTCATGGAGTACCAGAAAGACTATGGCAAAGAGTTGGAGCAGATTTGTTCTATGAGCAGAACAAGACATACCTAGTACTTGTCGACTATTTGTCAAACTTCATTGAGATCAGCCAACTCACAAAGACGACAAGTACAGCTGTCATTACTTGTTGTAAGCAACAGTTTTCCAGACATGGGATTCCGGAGACCCTTGTGACTGATAATGGGCGACAGTTCTCTAGTGCAGAATTCTGTACATTCAGCAAGCAGTACGGATCTGTCCATACAACATCATCCCCGCACTACCCACAATCAAAAGGCAAAGCAGAAAGGGCAGTGCAAGTGGTGAAGAAACTGTTGAAAAAGGCTCGAGAGGCAGGAGAGGATCCACATCTAGCATTGTTGCAGTACAGAAATACGCCAGGTGATGGTTTGCCATCACCAGCTCAGATACTGATGAGGAGGAGGACGAGAACCACCATCCCGACTACCAGGCAGCTGCTGAAACCCGCTACCAAGAAGGGCGTTGTCACCAGGCAGACGCAGTTGAAAGAGAAGCAGAAGAAGTACTATGATCATGGTGCTAAGCAGCTACCCTCATTGAAACCTGGTGATCCTGTAATGATGAAAGCAGGAAATGATACTCATTGGAAACCAGCTGTCGTCGTAGCTGTAGATGCCAACCCCAGATCACTCATCGTTGAAGGAGAGGGAGGAGGTCGCTACCGTCGAAACCACCGACACCTTCGCTTGGCAACGAATCACCCCGAGTTTGACCCCGAGATGGATGACGATGACCTCCTTGATAATCCAGCGCCAGCTCCAGTGAAAGAGCGTCGTTATCCTCACAGAAATCGATGACCACCAAATCGCCTAAATTTGTAACAGAGATGGAGATGTGTGGAAATATGTTCTACGTTAAGTTCGCGATATCAGTGTTGAAATTGCAAGAAAGTTTTCGCGACATCAGTGTTGAGTTTGCAGGAAAGTTTGTTTGTGTTCACTTCGCGAAGGCAGTGTTTAGTTTGCGTGGAAGCTTCTACAGTAGTTTGTGTTTATGAAAAGCCACGATGAATTGGAGGGAAGCAAATATCAGTGATTTCAACATCTACAAGCACATAATTGGTGGAAGTATTGGAGATTTAGTTTGAAATATCCAAATGTGGAAAGAGCTCTTTGGAGCTTTGAAATGTGTAAAAAAAGGATCAATGTGGAAACATCGCAGTGTTAGGAGATTTATTATCAACGTGTGGCATTGGAATCATTATATGAAAATAATGATAAAGCCAATTATAGCAAATACAAAGGAAGCAGCTACTTCTTGTTTTGGATGGTTATGACAAATAACTCAACAGTAGCAGTACTCGTACAAAAGGAAAGATGGTTGAACACGGAACACAGACATATGAACAGACTCCTTGAAAGACTTAGTTATTTGATTGAGTTATGACATTTATTTGTTTCAAATGTTTTCAAACTAAAGAAAGGGGGATGTAATGATATTGGTGATAGCGCCAGCTATCGTTGAAAAGTATATTCAGATATATATATATATATATATATGATGCCAATAGAATCGTACTCTGAACTGTAAGTTGAGTCTCCAATGTTGTCTTTATTTAGCCTCCGTAGTATAAGGCGCCATATTACAGACCTGTCTTGCTAGGTCTTGTACATTCTCTTGATGTAGCCTATTTCTCGTCAGCTCTGCTCTCAACATAACATTTCACGACGTTTGTGCTTCATTTGCAGTGGACACATGCAAGCGTAGTCTAGGCCTGCTTAGAACATGTTAAAATATAACCCCTTTTCTTGCTCATGTGTAATCTGTAATAGTAATGTCATATTTACACAAGCAATAACAAACAAAGACCAAAATGAGATGAATACATGCATTTGTCATACTTCATCCGTATATGTCTCTCTCTAATACGTCTATACGGTGTCGTGAAAAAGACCAATTAATTTTAAACAACATGCTGTACAGACAACAAGAAAATTGTGTTTAATAATTAATTAATCATTGTATTACACAATTATCACTTTGCTAGAGTCAGTTTTCTATCCGCTATTGTGATAAGAACATCAAATCCAAAGCCTACACAATGCTTGTTCGTCCTCAACTTGAGTATGGCAGTGAAGCTTGGAACCCTCGGACTCTGACATCAATACAAAGTCTTGACAAAGTACAGCGAGCTGCCGCCCGTTTTGTATACCAAGACTACCAGAGAGTAACATCAGTCACAGCACTTGTCAACAAACTGGGATGGGATACCCTTCACAACCGCAGGCTTCTTGCACAGTCCACTTTGTTTTACAAGATGCACCATCATTAACTCAACATGCCTTTTCCCACTCACATTATCCCAGCTACATATCTGGGTAGAAATGATCACCCTCTGAAGTATGCAGTACCCCAAGCTTCCATTGATAGCTTTAAGTACTCCTTCTATCCTCGCACCATCTGGACGTGGAACCACCTATCAGCTGCTGCGGTAACATCTCCAACAGCTAGTGACCATCTTACAGGAGGCTGCTCTACCCATCATCAGAGCGTTGCCTCCTCCTGTAGGGTCCAAGCTACTGTAGACTCCACGTCTCGGTTTTTACTTGCACGTCCACCGTTTTATTGTAAATAATAGACATCATTTACTGTTTTGAATTACTTCATGCACTGTCACTATGCAAGCACGTTGCACGGACATCCCAGTTTAGCTGTATGATAGCTGCCATCGGGATTATCTCTACAAGTAACAAGTAACAAGTAATAGTTTTATTCCTCAATCTCTCTCTCTCTCTCTCTCTCTATTTTGCCCAGGCTAATCAGGAACTCTTCAACCGCGCGATGCTCATGAACGTCGGGTTCCTCGAATCGCTTAACTTCACCGACTACGATTGCTTCATCATCCATGACGTCGACTATGTACCCGTCGATGACCGTAATTATTACGGCTGTTCCAGTATGCCCAGGCATTTTGTCTCCAGTTCTGATACCGATGGATGGAATAACCAGTAAAGAAATTTTACACTTCAGTGAATGATTTTAAAGTGGGCCAGTGGTCAGCTCTTTCAGTCTTTAAATTAACTGAAAAACATACTCAAATCTCAGTTTAAAAAAGTGAATCCGACATTATTTTGGCGACACTTGCGCCGAGGTTACTTTCGTCATTTAGAGTGAGAGTTATAGGCTGTGATCGTGTGTAGAGTTTAAGTTCAATGTTAAGCATATTAGGTATTGTGTCCTGTGTTGAAGTTTGGAATTCGATAGGAGTTAGATATTGATCTTGGCGCAATCACCACCAGATCATGAGTCGTACTCCTTTCAAAAAGTGACGATTCCATAGTGTACAAAATGTCATAGATCCTCACAAACACACAGTCCCTACATATTGTCAATAATAGTCCTGAAATCTATCCTTGTAAGCGTTATTGTAACATTTATAAGATATTATCTTTTGTATAATCGTTGAAGCGTAAGTGTTTTACTCAGGATTCGGCAGCATCAGTTGCATTTCCTATTATCTAAACCGATTGCGGTAACATTTTCAAAAACAATTTCTGAATATGCTGTATAATCTCTTCACGAATTTCGTAGATTTGCCATGTCAATGCATGCGTTATTACCTACGTTAATCGAGCCTTTGGAAACAATTGGCCTATACGCGAGTGTTTAATATGAGAATTGTTGATTATGCAGTCTTTTTTTTCACTTACGTTGACTCCCGTTTAGATTACCGTATGGTGAATTCTTTGGAGCTGTCGCTGGTCTTACTAAAGCCAACATCCGAAGCATCAACGGATTCCCTAACGTTTACTGGGGGTGGGGTGGTGAGGATGATGAAATATATAAAAGGGTCAGGGACGCTCGCCTCATAATCACCCGCCATAAAGGACCCATCACCCATTATAACGTCATTAAACATCATCACGAAAGCGCACCCATGGCAAAGGACAGGTAGGCATTGTATGTGCTTTGGATGCAATCTGATTATGAATATTTCTATATAGGCCTACTCAAACTTTCCATGCATGCTGCTTGGAAGAATAACTGAAATACTCCCCTTCTTTATTATAAACAGTTAAATATTAATTATTTTTAACCCTATGATTGCACAACAGATAACCCAAGTTGGTTTAAAAAATATTAAAACAACTTGCCTAAAGGTGGTCGGACGCATATTCATATTGCTCCGGTTGTCTCATTTTCGCTCGCTGGACGTATATAGCAGACGACATTTGGCGGATTAGACGACACTTGGTAGTGAATTTGTATGTGAGATTGCTTTGCTTAATATAAAATACAAGAACATTTTCCATATCTTTAAACTATCATTGATATCTGATAATTAAACAGTAAAATAAACCTACCAAACTACATAATACAATGAAATACTTGACTTAAAGTAGGGGAGTTTGATGTGGTGCACAATTGCATCCCTCTGTAAATAATCGAATAGTCCATGGTGATCATGAATATTCATGTTTTTGCTTACCTCGGCAAAATATTTGCTTTTACTGAATGGAAAAATTACGGTGGGGGGGTTGGATGTAATGTAAAAAATATGAACCAATCAGAAGTGATCTATGACAATTCATGCTTCATATCCTTCGTGTGCTTGACCTATAATCTTTCAATCGCTTGGCAGACTGAGTCCAAAGTCCATGTGTATTATAGGCAATGGCGAGCTTGCAACCTATTTTGATCAAATTACGGTGGGTGAACTTTCAAAAGTCAATGAGACATGAGGGCCCCAATGAAAGAGCTAGTGATAACGTACGTCGGGGTGGGTGTTCTTTTCGTTTAAACGAAAAAAAAAAATTAACGATTTTTTTCCGTAGGCTAACATGTTGGGCTGCTGACTCTGACGATAGGGGGCGTTGTGAAATGAGACTAAACGGAGCTATATGATTACTAAAGTGTCTGCAGTTTATTGACAGTTTACATACAGTCGAACACCATACATGAATACATATGTTATTAATTTTTGGTATAATTACCCTCTCATACTTTTTAATTGCCCCCTGGTTTAGTGTATAAATGACGTATTTTGTATATTTCGGCATTATAACCCGGGACACAACACAAGCATTCTAGTGTATATTAAATGCCGACATAGTTGAATGTGATCATCAAATTTGGACGCCATCTTGAATTTCCTCGTCTTCTGGCCTTCTAACTAACTGTAAGTAGTATAAATTGATTTTCCGACTCCAAAAACCTAGGTAAAGACACCAAAATAACATTTCGCAGATGATTTGTGGCTATTTTAATGTATTTGCGGTATTGGACGCCAATTCGAAAGTAACCACTTTCCGGGGGTCTTAGATTTTAAGTGTGTTGTTCCTGATGTCAAGCACTACAGAATTGCAATGCAAAGCTTCAATGAAATCATACCCGGTAATCAATGTTTTTGTTCTTTCCTCTGATTCTTCCTTCAGGGGAGCTCTTTTGAGCACATACAAACGTCGAAACAGAATGGATGGGTTGTCGAACATCGTTTATCCGACCCCCGTGTACGACCTCCATACTCTCTACACCAACGTCAGCGTCGACATCAAGAGGATCAAACCACATAGCCCAATGCCAGGGTTAAAAGGCTGGTAATCAAGGTGAACTAGCCAAAAAGATACTCATTGCTGGACTGGCGACGAAAAGAGGCAGCGAAGAGCCGAAGATATCGGGACCGGGAGATTGAGAACGCCCGTAGATTTGGCCAAAACCCGTTCTGGATTTAAGTACCTCAGCGGTCACCCCGCTGTTACTATAGTAGCTTCTCGATTTTGCACACGAACCGCAGATTCTCCGTCCGCGTTGAGCTTGAGAAAACTTCCTAATAACTACACACACGCATATACACACATACACACACGATTCACTCACAAGTCATGCACAAAGATCGTAAGAACACATTTTCATTCACATTTCACCTTTATATTTTTCTTTAGAGGCCGCCATCCTAGTCAAGCGTCGCTTATGATGGCGGTCTCCTGCACTTTTCCATATAAAGTTAGAATAATACTTATAACTCGAAATAATATATTATAGAAAAATCAGGTTCGTTTTTATATGTTTATATGTACATCACATTTCGACATGAAGTTATTATTGTTTGCATCTTTGTATTAAGACCAGTTATGGTCATGCGATCACATTGTGAAAGAAACGTTGTGGAATCGATCAGAAAAGGTTGATCATCTAGCATATAAGTATTGGTGTGTACTGCAAGGTTCTGAATCATCAAAATGATAAGAAATTTGGCCCAGTCTTGGTAAAGTTACAAGCACTGTACACAGAAAGATGTATATGGGACTACACACACGTGCGCAACACGTGCGTTATATCTATCAGGTACAAATAGATATAGTAATTTACCAAATATATCAACTAGTAGGCGGTTTCTCGGCAAAATGTGTATGATCACGTATTAGTCAAAACATATTCTTTCACATGATTGGTAATAAGAGCTTCCATTCCATTTTTTGAGAGGGGGCGTTTCCAAAACTGGTCTTTACCTTTAAATCATTTTTTTGGAAACTGCAATATTCATGTTCAAACTACTTAACAATATGCTACCGAAGTCTTAGATAATTATATTACTGTAAATTGTTCTGTTCATAATTAAATTACTAGGAATTCTCAAAATATTCATCCCCCATTTAACCGATAACTTAATCTTCCGTCTTCTAGAATGGCTCAGTTTTATGGAATAACCTTCCTATAATAGTAAGACAGTCAACCAATTTAACGAATATATCAGCAATTTCTTTATGAAAAAAAAATTAATAATTTTAATATTTATACAATGTTTCAACCTTCTCTTTTGTATATTCTTTATCTTCTATTTTTGGGGTAATCTTAATTGTATGTAAGTTATGTACTAACTTTATCGTTATTTTATATATTTTGTGAAGATTCTTTTAGCTAGCCATTTATGTGCTTTTCATGATCCTCCCACTTCAGATACTTTATTGCGTACGTTTAATATTTTGAAGATTGTATAATTTTGTTTTGATCTCGACGTGTAAATAAATGAATGGAATGAGATACCTTACGTTTACACGTTCTTTGTTATTCATGTAAAAACGTCTCGTCATAATCGTCTTCAAGGGTCTGGATTGTTTACCGCTAGACTAGGCGGGCCGCGTAAGCAAGGACAAATAAAATTGGCGACGTAATTGGCGACGAAACCAGCCAGGCGTGAATCTCGTCGTGAATTTTATCGCCAATTATTCGCGACGAAATTGACGACGTCGTGAATTTTATCGCCAATTTTTCACGACAAAATTGACGATATCGTGAATTTCGTCGTGAAAAATTGGCGATAAAATTGGCGACGTCGTGAATTTTATCGCCAATTTTTCGCGAAGTCTATTCGCGATGTCCCTTCAGGGCCACCATACACTGTTAAGAAAAACAGTAGATTTTACAGAGAAAAAAATACAGAACCATTCTTTAAAGTGTTGTAACAGCAAATTTTCTGTAATTTAACAGGACAAATGTCTAGAAAAAAATGAAGATTTTGTTTTTTTACAGGCAATTTGCGTGATTTCAGATCCCATATACAGATTTTTTACAATTCTACGGAATGTTCTTTTTTTATTAAGAAAACTTCATTTTTTAACGGATAATAAAAAAGAAATTACAGAAAACAAAAATACAGAACCATTCTGTAAATTGATGTAACTGGAATTTTCTGCAATTTAACAGGACAGATTTCTATAAGAAGGGGAGATGTTTTTTTTTAATAGGAATTCTGTATGCTTTCAGATCCAATATGCAGATTTATTATGATTCTACAGAGCGTTTTTTTTTCAAAGTAAACCTCATGTTTTAATGAATAAAAAGAAAGAATCTACAGAAATTAAAATACAGATTCATTCTGTAAAAATGTAAACTAGAAACTTTCTGCAATTTAACAGATCTCTAAAAAGAAGATCCCATGTAAATAAATGGAGTGTCTTTTTATTCAAAGTAAACCTCATGTTTTAATGAATAAAAAAAATACAGGAAACAATAATACAGAACCACTCTGATAATTAATGTTACTTGACATTTTCTGCTGTGAAAAGGACGGATCTCTCTCCCTCTCTAAAAAAAGGATTGTTTTTTTTCTTTATGGAAATTCGTAGGCCTATGTTTTTAAGCAGATTTTGCTTTTAATTCTACAAAGTGTCGATTTATTCAAAGCAATCTCATTGGCCCGAATTCACAAAGGAGGTTTAGATTTAACCCAGGCTAAATCGCGTCATAATACGTCATAACCCCGAGCTTTAGACCATGGGTCATTATTTTGGTATTCACAAAGGAAGTTTAGATTTAACCCAGGCTAAATCGCGTCATATTACGTCATAATTTTAACCTGCTCAGAAGGGTGGTTTAAACAGCGGGCTAAATCTAACCCACGGTTTAACCCACGGTTTAACGCGTCATATTACGTCATACCAGCGAGCTTTGGCTTTTTAGCGCCGACGAACGAACAAATTTTGTTGACAAATTTGTGGTAAAACAAAGGGAAGAGACCTTCACAAAGTTGCTGTTTTTTCATCTTTGATAGCCTACATTGTAAGTATTTTTAGTTATTCACAACATATTTGTACCATATTCTCAGTTCTGCTACAATGGAAGCCCAATTGAACATGATTTATGTGCGTAAAAAGTGCACGAATAATAATCTTCATCGTAAGTTGCACAGCCTTTGCGAACATTGTCGCAGAACCTAACGCAGCTCGGACCCATGCGTGTGTATTTGTGTTGTGTTGTTTATGTAATCCTGCGAGGCAAGGCAATTTCGCAATAACTGCGAATGTGCCAGCTAACAATACGAAATTAGTTATAACATCACACAATTGTGTGATTTGGGAAGAAAAATATGTTAATCATGACATTTGAGACATAATTCCTGGCCTCGGTGGGGGGGGGGGGGCCGGGGGTAGCGACAGTTCCATTTGTATTTTCTGCTCTGCTGATGCTGCTTCTCATCTGACTAACGGAGGAGAACGAAAAATGCCGAAATAAAAATGAAAATTCTTCCACGATGATGGATTTTACTAGTCTAGTCTAGGCCTACTATATACAGAGGCCTGGTCTAGACCTAGATCTAGACTAGTCTCTAGTACTACTAGGCCTACACTGGCACTCAGTACTGACTGAATAAGACCTGAGCTTGAGCTCGAAGTCGGTGGCAGTGAGACACGCAAACACGACGTGGGCCTAGGCTAGATGATAGGTGTAGGCCTAGATCTATCTAGATCTAGTCCTCAGTCTCAATAAATTAGTCAAAGCACGCCAAACCATGGCATGAATTTATTAAAAGTATTTTGTAAATTATTTTAAAAGATGCAGATCTAGATCTAGAGGTCTAGAATCTAGACCTAACTTAGATCTAGATTGTTCTAGGTCTAGAATCTAGTCTATTCTAGATTTAGAAATTGAAATGGAATAAAAATTAAAATATTTTTCAAAATAGACCTAGATCTAGTCTAGGTCTAGTCTAGGTCTAGTCTAGTACTCTAGACTTTCTAGATCTAGAACTAGTAGTAGTAGACCTAGGCCGTAGGGTCTACCGGTATAGACCTCGGGCTCTAGATCTAGAATCTAGTCTATATGTGGTCTAGATCTAGACCTTTCTAAACCTACTTTTCATAAATTCATGCCAAGCCCGCGCCGATGGTTTGTTGTGTTGTGTCTTGAGAAGTTGAGTGTTTGTGTGTCTCACCGTCACTGAGTTCGAGCACAAGTCTGAGCTGAATGAGAGGTACTTTGTCTTTAGGCCCATCTAGATCTAGATCTAGCTAGACTCTAGTACTGACTGTCGAATGTCTCTACACTCAACTCCTACAAATTTATACTATCATGATCATGACATGTCTAGGCCTAGAGTCTACATCAATACATTGTTGTACTTGAATTTTGAAGCAAGTTTAAAATCTGTGCAAGCAAATAGCCAATAAATCAATGTGTGTTTTTCCTAATCTACATGCAATCTTAGTCAAATTCAACCTTTCACATGGGACATCTAATGCTAATTTACATGTACATGTATCTAATTTCACATTTTATCAAGCATGAGTAGATTTTTAACAAAACATGACAGGAATTGGCCCCTACGTTCTTATCGAGGTTCAGTGACATCATCTTTCCTAATTGCCCAATAGTATGAATCAATAGCACTCATTTCTTTAATGCAATCAAAGTATCGTTAATATTTTTTTTCGAGTTTGCAAAAGCTATTCAAAATCAGATTGTCTACAATACAAAGAATGCAAAACATGTAATATCATAGGATTTACTTGATAAACAATGAATGATATTTTTTCATTTCATGTTCTAATTTTAATTCACTTTTTTCTATTTTGTTGTGACAGAGACAGCATGGCTGAATATATTCACCATCTCCGCCAGCTTGATCGGAACAGAGAGTTGATAGGCAGACCTCAGAGAGGCCTTCGTGACCCATGAACCCTTTTGAAGTGTATGATGATGAGTCATTTCGGACCAGGTACTGGTTTTCCAAAGAGACAGCGCTCTACCTCATCAACTTGGTGGATGAAGAGCTGAGGACGACAGACAGAAACGACCCAATACCTATACAGGTAGTGACAGCACTTCGATTCTATGCTGTTGGTGAGTAATTTACCTTATTTAGTATTTAGTAAATTTCTATTTAATCTGGGCTGAGCAAAAAAGTAAAAGGGTAAAATTGCGGTTACCATGTTTTGCGGGAGGTTTTTTCATAAACCGGGAGATTCTACATCAAAGCGGGAGGAAGGGCGTGGTGGCGTGAGACCCCCTCTGAATGCAAGAGGGTTGACAGCCCTGATTTAATAAAAAATCTATTCTACAATTTTAAGGACTTTAAACATTTCTCAGTTTGAGAATTTGATCTGGCCATGTAACTTGTAAGAAATTGTACTAGTTGATATTTCACTAAAAGGATTTTTTTTTTTACAGGGTCATTCCAAAAGATGCATGGTGATGAGGCACAACTTTCAGAGTCTTCTGTATGCAGAGTCATCAAAGACGTGTCAGAAGCGTTTGCAAGAAGAAGGAAACAATTCATGAAGTTCCCAACATCAAGAGAAGAAGTAGAAGCAACACAGCAGCAGTTCTACCAATACTGCAGGTTGCCAGGTTTTCTAGGTGCAATTGATAGGACTCGTGTCTACATCAGGAGTCCTGGTGGAGATCAAGCACTGTATTTTATTAATAGGAAGAACAGATACTCTATTAATGAAATGAAAATTTTCCCTTTTTTTGGAGATGCTCCCCATTTACTTTTAATGCAATTAATTAAATGACCGATATGGAATTGGTTCACCCTTTAGTTTCTCTGAACGAAACGTACACCCATGCAGTACTGTGGTCTGAAACAATTAGACCGTATGATTTGAAATCTAATGGTTGATATAGTTCCTCCCAAAAACATTTTTGCAAAAGGTACCAACCACTTTGAAAGGGAAATCGTCATCATCTTCATCATTATCAACATCGTCACTGAAATCGTTATTTGACTGCTTCATCACCATCACCACCGAAAACATTGCTGTCATCATTATCATCACTGACATCATTATCGACTTCAATATTGTCTTCGTCAATAACCTTGAATACTTATTTTGATTATCCATATTAAATCGTCAATATTTAAATATAAATTTCTCTTGTTTGATGGTGTGGTTTTTCTCGTGAAATCATTAAGTTAGGAGGTAAACGTTTTACAAGTGAATGACCTACTTTGTTTATCTTGTTTAATTATTAATATACCATTTGCTGTTATCTATTACTTATAATTACCCAGTACACACCATGAATGAAAATGGATTCGGTATGTTTCGCTAAATCCAAACACCCACACAGAGAGAGATGAAGAAAGAAGGAGAAAGGGTATGTGTGAGAGAGAGAGGTGGAGAAAAAAGAGAAAGAAAAGGGGTACGAGAGGGATTTTAAAAAATGGAGTTCTAACGAAATAAAAAGATATTTGACAGAGGTGGGGTGGAGAGCTGGTGAAAAAAGAGAGACAACAAACAAAAACAAGGAAGGTGAAAGAGTGAGAAATAGAGACGAAATTTACAAAAAAGTTCTTTTCTTTTTGTTTAAATCACTATTCCCTTGAGAAATTCAATAAAGCAGAAAAATTAAGAAAAAAAAATGAACGCCCCCCTAAGAAAAGAATTAATACAGCAAATAAACAAATTCAGAAAAAATTAATGCCCCCCCCCTAAGAAAACAATTAATGCCCCCTCCCCCCTAAGAAAAATTAAAAACAAAATTACCCCCACCCCCAGTATAAAGCCCCACCCCCTAAGAAAACAATTAATGCCCCCTTCCCCCTATGAAAAATTAAGAACAAAATTAACCCCCCCTCCCCCCCCTCAAAAAAAAACCCCATCCCTTAAGAAAACAATTAATGTCCCCTCCCCCCCCCCCGAATTAGGCCTAATAATTCTTTATCACATGTCAAGACTGCCTTGTTTTTGCTGTCCTCCTATTTTATGTGACCAGTAAGCCCGGTTTTTTTTTCTCAATACATCTATGCATATTATGCATTAATGCCAGTATTTTCTATCAGATAGTATTTATCGTAACCTTTCAGCCCTTTCTTTCTACATCATCAACACATTCTGGACTAAACGTCATCGATCGCTTTCGCTGCCTCTACGGAGTCTACGCTATATATAACACGAGTCTACTCTTCGGATTGATTAATTGCTAAACTAAAGTGTGGCCTACGCTCTAAAATCATCATAACAATCAACGAAAATGTGATCATATAGCTCTATAATGAACACTACATCATAGAAAATTTTCACTCTGGTATAAGGGTCGTTTACAGAAGTTTTTTGTGGACTCTTCCACGAAAACTGTCCATGTTTAGTGTGTTGTGATGCCCAGCTGATCATAATTATGTCGGACGATTATAGGCCATAAATTAACAACGATAGTGAGGAATTATTGAGGTAATTTATGCGAAATTCTATAATATTTTGAGGACATCTGTATGAGAACTGTTTTAGTATGTGAATAGTGGTTTAAAGTTTTATCTCAACTTAGAATCGGTCGGTTTTCAGTCTCTACTTGTAGGCGAAGAGTAATAGCCCAAATACAACTGAATCTGGACTTAGCAGACGACGGTGAACTAGGTGGAGTAACCAAGTGTACTGAGCGCGCATGCTCAGTTCAGTGCTTCAATTCTGCGCATGCTCAGTTTATTATTTTGCTCTCTTAGGCATGCTTAAACCGTGGGTTAAACCGTGGGTTAGATTTAGACCATGGGTTATCTAACCCACGCTTTGTGAATACCGAGCGAGGTTTAAACCGTGGGTTAGATTTAGCCTGGGCTAAATAACCCAGGGTTAGATTTAGCCTGGGTTAAATCTAAACCTCCTTTGTGAATTCGGGCCATTTAGTTTAATGAATAAAAAAGACAGAATTTATAGAGGAAAATACCGTAAACAATTCTGTAAAATTAATAGCTGAATTTCACTGCAATTTGACAGAAATTTAAAAAAGAAGTTGATGAGGGTTTTTTTTCAAGGACATTCAGATCCCCTATAGATATTTAATGTTCTACAAAATACCCTTTTCAATTTAAAAAAAAAAAGACCTTAACTGCCTTTTAATGCCTTAAACTCAACAACGTAAAATAATTTGCGGTAAAAATACAAAACCTTTCTGTTAATTGACTCAAGCTGCCGAATTCGGGCACATTTAAAAGGGAAAGAAGATTTCGTTTTTACCGGAAATTAGTCTGCTTTTATCAGAGGTTATGCTTTATATAGGCCTAAATTTTAGTAGGCTAGGCATAATTATATATATACTTCAAAGTTCATGTAGACCTCTCAGAAATCTTTTTTTTTTATGCCATAAAAACAACGACGAACTCCCACGAACTGAAACTGTAACTATACCGGTACCGTAATTTTTCTGCATCTTCTTAATCTTCTTCTTTTTCTTCTTTTCTATTCTTTTTTTCTTTTTTCTAACAGGAAGTTTTAATAGTGCTTTCATATCTTATTCAGATTTCTGTTTTTTTATTTTATTTTTTCTTTCTTTTCTTTTTTCTTGCCGCCAACTTTTTTGTTACCGTTAGCGATAGCGTGTAACATGCATGCGTGCACTTCGTTCGCGCCCATATATGCATGCATGGCGATCGATCAGATCAGAACGAACCGGCCGGGCGCGCCGGGCCAGCGCCAGCTATAGCTTGCTAGCTGCTTGCACTCGCACGCGCGCGCCATGCATTAATTGTGCATGTTTACCATGATGTGTACGTACGTACATGTACAGTGCAGCATAGAAGTTATCTAGTTAGCACTATGAACATGACAGACAATGAAAGCGGACAAAATATACAGTTCCTCAGGAAAACAAAGGAACATCCCTTCACTGCTATTATGTAAAAATGTGTAGAACAGGTGAATATGCATGTGACACCTGTTCTACACATTTTTACATAATAGCAGTGAAGGGCTGTCCCTTTGTCTACCTGAGGAACTGTATATTTTGTCCGCTTTCATTGTCTGTCATGTTCATAGTGTAGTCTGATCTATGTACATAATGCATGCAGTACATACCTGCGAAGTTCGTTCGTGAGCTGAGCCTGGGCCTGCCTGTGATTTGAATTGGATTGGGTAAGTCGATTGTCAATTAAAGTCTCTTTTTCGTTAGGTATTATAACAAGAATTTCAATGTAGTGTTTATAGTATTAAGAATTGAGTTTGTTGGTGATCACCACGATGAGATTTAAGTCGGATAGAACTCGAGAATTTATGCTTAAACTCTAGTAAAGTAAGCTAGACCGATTAAATCTGTCTCTGTTTGGGGTAGACCGAAGGCTCCGGCCGTGTGTGTCGCGCGCTCTCAGTCATTAACATACGGACATTCTCTTTTTACCCTCTGAGTGGAGAGAGGGTAAAAAGAGAATGTCCGTATGTTAATGACTGAGAGCGACACACACGGCCGGAGCCTTCGGTCTATGTTTGGGGGACCTAGTATTTACAGTACGGTCATTAACGGGGAGGGCCGCCCGATTAATGACCGTACTGTAAATACTAGGCCCCCCAAAACAGAGACAGATTTAATCGGTCTAAAACTCTAGTAGAATCTAGTAGACTCTAGACTAGACTAGAGTCTAGTCTAGGACTAGGTCTATTTAATGATCTACAAGATCGAAAATGCCAAACGTTCTCACACACGTGGTTTGGTCTCTGGACTTTGTCTTTGGTCCTTGGATCTAAAAACGTAGGATGGGAGTTGGGTGTCCGGCACACCTGCTAAGCAAGTGGTAAATAAACTAGATCTACAAGATAGTATATTGACCACTTGCGAGGCAGACTTGCAAAAACCTGTTGACATTTTTGTGCCAATAGAGGGCTTAAAATATTGCCGACTTTACATTGGCAATACACACGCGCGCCGAGTCGATAACGCTATTTTCCAAGTCGACATATTTTCTTTCGTTTCAATATTCAAATTTCGAGAAGTTAAGCGTAGTTAGAAGTATGAAGATTAATTTGCAAGATAACATCTCTGTTTGTATGTATTTTCAGGGAACTCATTGGCATCAGTCCTGGGGGTCCAGTAAAGAGTGGAGGAAAGAAGAAGAAGAAATCGGCCGTGTCTCCAAAGATAATTGCCCTCCTTCGTGGAATCGTAGAGTTCGAATCTGACTGGAAAACAGAGTAGCAGACATCCAGCTCTCATTTTTTATGCTTCTGTCAATTTGTTTTGAGATGTGCTTTATTATGCACGATTTTTATTGTGACGAATACATGGATGAGACAATGTGATGTAAGAAACCTGTAAATTTCTATTATTTGTGCCTCATCTTGAAAGCCTTTTCTCAACATCCCCAACATAATGCAAATAAATATATATAAGTATTAGTATAGTATAGGATGTATGCATCCAGATGTGAAAGGCTTTGATTTTTGGAAAGAGCCAAGATAGTCCTTGCCAAGGAACAAAGTGAGTTTTTTAGATTTTGTTGGTAATGTAAGAAAACCTCAGCAGGTCCTATTTATAATTTTATACCTATATAATTTGTATATTTGTTCTTTTGAAGGTTGTTTATAGTGTTTTCTTGATGATATATGCTACAGTATGCAAACATTATACCATGTTGGTGTTTACCCTGGTCAACTTTATATACAGGGTGTCCCATGAACAATGCCTGACACACTTCTGATAGCACACAGATCAACTTATTAATACCATTGGTAAGAGCAACATTTCCTTAAGGCCCTGTCACATTAGGCTTGCATGTGACTTGCAAGGAAATTTGTTTTGCTACCCAGGGGTCTGCGATACTGCGATACAACAATATTACATTTTGAAATAGTTGAGAAGAGGATCGGTTGAAAAATACAAATTTTTGAGGTGCTGAGTATGTACTAATTTGTGTTTTCAAAGGTTGGCAGCTATGCTATGTACATCATCTTCATCTTTTATTGGAAACATGTACATATTTTTCATTGAGGCAAGTGGGTATTTTGAGAACAAAAATAGACATTTGTATGCTGTTTAGGAAAATAATGTACATTATGCCATCTTCAATCATGAGAACTGATGGCCATATTAATTTGATATTCTTGGCCCGAACTCACAAAGGAGGCTTAAAGGAGAATAAAAGTTAGACAGTCACATGATTTCAGTGAATGGAGAAGAACAACAAGACTTAACAGTAAAAGTTTGAGCAAATTTGGATAATCCGTTTTCGAGTTATGTATTTTTGAAGTTTTAGAAAATCCTTATTATGGACTTCCTTAAGTTGGCAACTTCGCCAGAATTTGTGATGTCATTGTGCTCAACTCTCCATTGGTTATGTACAGAGAGTTTCACTTTTTTCTAATTTTCATCAAAAATAATATTTCCGCCAGTGTATTTTGTTTTTGTATGACATGGCTACATCAATTCTGCAGTATGTCTGAAAGAATCAATACAATTGCCCTTTTAATATTTTATAAAAATAAAATGTTGTGAAACTCTCTGTACATAACCAATGGAGAGTTGAGCACAATGACATCACAAATTCTAGCGGAATTGCCAACTTAAGGAAGTCCATAATAAGGATTTTTTAAAACTTCAAAAATCCATAACCCAAAAAAGGATTATCCAAATTTGCTCAAACTTTTACCATTAAGTCTCATTGGTATTCTCCATTCACTGAAATCATGTAAATGTCTGACTTTCATTCTCCTTTAAACTCTGTGGGGGGTTAAATCATGGTCTATGTAGATTTTGTGTATAATTTGCGCTTAATTTAGCGTGTATGCTGAGAAAGGTCCAATATGAAGGCACGCTGTATGGCAAAGGGCGCTCAATTCATGCTTGTTGCTATGATTTTAAACCATAGCTTTAAACCATGGCAAAAATCATGAATTTCTAGTACTTTGCCAAAAGCGTGCATTTATACTGGATCTTTGTCAGCTAATCATACACAAAATCTGCATAAACCATGGTCTAAACTTAAACTTCCTTTGTGAATTCCGACCATTGAGTGTGTGACCCTCAAATCGAGCAGAATTGCATCAAAATATCATCAGGTTAGATTTAGTGTGCATTTTGTTTACATTTTCTATGTTACAATGGACATGTTTGAAATAGACCCCCCCCCCCCCGGCACAGTTTTAGCATTGTTATAGCACATCTGAAAGAGCACCTCAAAGTGGTCTTAGGGATCCCGTTAGAATTTGGTTTAGATGGTTGATTGGAAGGCTTCTCTTCTACCCAACCAGAAGAGCGACATGTTATGATCCTTGGACTGTGATTTGTATTTTTCTGCACTTCACACTATTTGCAATATGATATCTGATCATGCCAATCATTTATTTTTTTAGAAATGTGTTAAATTATGTTTTGTATGTGTTTAAATATGCCAATCACATACAAGTCATGTGTTGCAGTAGGTTCTATGCCTCCAGATTTTAAAGGTTTTCATTATTGGTTTGAGCCAAAATAATCTTTGTAAAGGAATGAAGAATGCAGGTGCCCTTTTCTTTAGGCATCTATACAGGGTGAGTCAGAAAAAAAAGTCCACTTTCAAAAATCTATATAATCTCTAATGTATGTTATTCTTCAAAGACTGTGGTATGTCCTAAAAGAGTATCTTCCTCTTTTATTTGGTATAAATTTTATCAGGTTTATAGCATGAATGTCATGCTTGTCTATACAGGAGGCCCTTTTTTTTTTGAGAGAGAGAGGAAATAAAATTTCACCTGCGCCAGAAGTGGTGGCATGTCGATCATGAATTAGCAATAAATGATATACCTCGGTTAAACATGACTCTTTACGATTTCATATCATGGGGGGGGGGGGGGGCACCCCGTAGGCTATATAGTTTTTTGTTACATTTTATATCTTTGTTACTCACTGAAGTTTGCTTTTATTGTTTTCTTGTTGATTAAGCTCCTTGCAGATCAGTATTTACATGTTTGTAATTGGTAATGATAAATGAACCCTTTTAAAACTACAAAATGTTGCAGTTGTTTGTTAGGCCATATAGTTTTTGTTACATTTGATATATTTGCTACTTACTGAAGTTTGCTTTTATTGTTTTACTGTTGATTAAGCTCCTTGCAGATCAGTATTTACATGTTTGTAATTGGTAATGATAAATAAACCCTTGAAAAACTACAAAATGTTGCAGTTGTTTGTTTGACTGACTTGTGTATCTGTAAAATTAAAGCAGGTGCCTGCAGCAGTCACAAGATTTATTTTTTTAGTGTGTGTTTTGATGGTAACTTGTACATACACACTCTAGCATTAAGGTCTTACAGATTTTTCATGAACATGTTTGTAGGATTTCTATAGGATATAATTTAAATAATTTCATGAGAAATTTCATTTATTACACACAAATGTTATAAAACAGATTGGCTGTAAATTATGAATCATGCTATAAAATTACAGAATTTCTCGAGACTTCTGCAAGCACCCTGCCCTTTTTATTATTTTTTCATTCCGTTATAATTTTTCTATTTTTTATTTTTGTTTATTTTTTATTCATTTTTTTTTTACATGCCGATTTTCTGTTTCAAAACAGATGGACTGTAGATTTTGAAGAGAAATATGTAGTCAAATTAAAGCACTCCTGTAAACCTTGATTCAGGCACTCCTCTGTCTTTATTTTAAAGATAAATTTCATGTATCACAGATGGCTTGTTATTAAAAAGATGAGCTGTAAATTTTGATAGTAGATCTGCTGCAAAATTACAGGAGTTCCTTGTAGTTCGGCAAGTTATCTTTCTGTTTTTTTAAGAATAAATTTCATTTATCATATGCAGATTTGCGGCTAAAAAACAGATGAATTGTAAATTGTGAAAAGAAAAATGTGGCAAAGCTAAAGGATTCCTGTAAACCCTGAATCAGACACTTTTCTGTCTTTTTTTTTTACAAAAATGAAATGTTATAATCACTTACAGATTGTATGTTATTAAACAGATCAGCTTTAAATTATGGTTACAAATATGGTGTAAAAAAACTGGAGTTCTCTAGAGTTCTGGAAAAATATATATATAAAAAACAGAAAATTTGTATTTATCACCTCCATATTTGCTGTTAAAAAACTGATGACTTGTGAATTGTGATAACAAAGTTCTGTAAAATTACAGGAGTTCTCGAGACTCTGCTGCAGGCACTTTTCTGTATTTTTATGGAGAATTTTTTTAACAGTGTAGGTATGGGTACTGTGAAAATATCGTGGAGTTACTGCAACTTTAACTCAGATCGATGACGCACTTTGCATATATGATATGCATGCACGGCCGGTGACGCGAACAGCGCATGCGCACTACTCCGATATAGTTGTAGTTTCCAGTCTTTTCATGTATCTTCCCCTAGTTTTGAAAGCAGTTTTACACAAAAAACTAACATCTGCGCAAACATAAAACTTCGCAGAGAGCGAAACTGGAGTTTAAAGTCTAGTTTTTATCATTATCATTTTAATCATTATTTGTACTTTACATAGCATTTGGAATAATAAAAGACGCAGTGTACACAAAGTACACGAACGAACACAAAGAAATCGGGATTTTTTTTCATTCGTTTTCTTCATGGCTCTAATCATTCTTTTCTTTCACCCTTAACAGGTGTTTTTATTTCAACAAAATAATCAAACTCACATATATTTTTGTTTAACACAACCACTATAATAATTGACACATACATTTCTATGAATTCAGGTAAATTATAAATTTTCGCTTCTCTTATTTTGACAGAGCTGCGTTAATGTCCAAACGAATCTTAACTTCTTTCAAAATAATATATACCATGATTTTTTTTTTATCCTTTCATCTTTTTCTATTTCGTTTCTCAAAATTATCATTTTATATTAGCTCCAAAAGGCAATTGTAACAATATCATCAATATTTTTTTCCAAATTGGTTTTTAACAAAAGGCCTAAGCCTATATTAAAATCAAAATCTACATTATAGGCATGCTTTATCATTTCCATAAAAGTTCATTTCACATTTAAAAAACATGAAATAAATCTTCTCTACAGTTACAAGTTTCACTAATATCGGAATTACTAAATCCCCATGAAAACAACATTCTTTTTGATATCATAATGGTTTTTAAAAAAATATATTAAAAAGAAAACTATAGATGATTTACAATTGAGCATTATGAATAGAAACATGCAGTAAAGAACGATACATATCTATGCTGTCCTATATAAATAAAAGTGCATACTTCTTATTCACGGTTTCATAGTGTGTTATGGTCCGAGTACGCAGAGTAAATAATTAAATGGAAACCTTTCTTCCACTTCTTACTGTACACACAATAAACTTTATTTACAACAGTCATAACCCCAAAGTCGGTAGTTGTACTAGTGGAGTATATTACTAGCACAGTATATTACTATCAATAGCTGGGGTATTTGTGATACAATGCTATCAATAATAAAAGACAGGATATTATGGGGAAGCATAATGATAACTGTAGTTCATTAATTAATCTGAAATGCATATTTTCCTTTTCATCATTTTGGAGCATTGTTGCCAATTGAATTATAATATTATTTAGATTTTCTTTGATATGCTTTAAAAAATGTTCTTGTTAAAGGATATGCTGTTTATTTACATACCAATACAATGTAAATAAAATGAATGTCTACTGACTGCCTTGCTATAAACAGAATAATGAACATTTTGACCGATTACCACTCTTAAGTGTCACAATTGTCCAAACCAGGTTGTCTACCTATCCTGTACCCGATCATACTTTTCTTGCGGGGCGCCCTGGTTTTTGGATGCCACATTCAACCGATGAAGCTTTTATTTTGAGATTTTTTGTATAGGGTGCCGTCCTTTAAACTACAAGACTGACAAAATATATTCAGCTTCATTTTGCCTCAATTCGGTTCGATCAAATTGTTCATTTGAACGGCTGCTTTTCTAACATTATGTACTTACATATACATATACAAATCTTACAACGTGAGGAGGGGGCGTTCTGGAGGACCCCAGTAAATACATAAATTTATTATGGTATGTCGTGTATTAGTCACTAATTTTAAAGGTCATATCGTTAGAAGTCACAATTATGTCGGGGTGTAGGAGAGCACTCCTAGCAACTACGTTATATCGTAACTATATTAGTCACTATATTTTGAGATACTTTATAATCAAGTATTGATATTACTGGTACTTATTCGCTTAATGTTGATTGGCATTGCTTCGAGGCAAAAGTAAATGTTCGTCTTCACGAGGTTCAAGACGTAGATGGTCGTCGTTTTGTGGCGACTCCATTTCCCTCTGTGTCTTCTGAACGTAATACTGCATTATTCTAAAATTTAAAACAAAATGTAGATTACAAAATAATAAAGGAGTCGGAAACATTGCTTACGTTGTCTATCGCCGAATTACCAATATATTTGAGTATTTATATTTTCGTTCAGATTTTTCTCGCTGCAGAAATTAGAATATTGGACTATCAGCAAGAATAATCATCCTTCATATTTCGAACTAAATGAAGTTAGTATGATACATGAATTAAAATACTTCCATAGAATTTCTTCAATCAATACTTTAATCCATGTTTCCACACTCTTCACCCAAATGCTAACTGGGTACCCAGTCATTGCCGGTAGGATGCGAAAGTCATTGTAGTTTGCTCAGCATTGCGAGTGTCTATTAAATGGCACCTGGCTGGAATGGTCCCCAGGAGTGGAAAATACATTGTGGAAATGAATACATTGTATATGCGAAAGCCTGAGTCATGTGAGCGGGGTAATAAAATAGCCGTAAAGCGCGTATAACACAAGCAAATATTTTCCAAAAATTAACCCTAGGCAATTGCTGTAGCCTCGTGCGTCACCTATTGAAATGTGCAAACTTGACAATGGCGTATTACGTAATGTGAACATGATTTCTATAGGACATATTTAATAGTATATCTGACGCCCCCGTCCTAAAGGTATTACAGGGTTTTGGTATGGGGGTCATGAATTTGGTTCAAATGAACATATTGGAAGCAAATACGATCCTACAATATTACGTGATCGTTGTCGCGGTTGAAATCGAGTCTAAAGTGATGAAATTGTAAATAATAAATTCTTTATGTTGAATAGCACTCTTTCAAGGTCAATATATTAATTTAGCTATACAACAATGTTATTTGACTAAAATCGACCAATTTGCACCGTTTGGAATAAAAAATATCACAACTGCATATTCTGAGATTTTCATGGTAGGAGCACCGGTAAATTTTTCTATTAAATTTTTCTCGAAAGCAGAAGTGTTTTAGAGGCTAATTTTTTGTGTGCTTATAACACATCCATAGGGGCATCCACATATATCAAAATTGTAAAGAATCACTATCCAGGCAATTTTCAAAATTTACCAAAACTTTGTAATACCTTTATAGGCAGGCTTTACTACTTCTGCTAGAAGGGATTAGACCACCCAGCAAGCCAGCGAGGTCATTGTGACAGGTGGCTATCTAATTAACTCAGCTCTCATTTATCATAAGAAAAAGAGGATCATGGGGGACCAACAGGCACCTATTGGGGAAGTTTCCTATATAGATGGAGCAAGTAGCTACAAGTAGGACAGTGTGCCTTTAATAGAACTTTTTCGATCTCACCCTAGCGACTTGTGGATGAGAAACAGTGGGGTTTGATCGTAAAACACGGGGTGAGCTTTTGGACACCGTCTTAATCAGCCATCCGCAAAAACCTCAATCATCGATCAGCTGGCGCGCGCTGTGTACATGCAGTGGCGTACGCAGGATTTTTTTCAAGGGGGGGGGGGGGTAAGAGGATATATATATATATATATATATACATATATATTTTTTGGTCCCAAAATTTGAAAATTTGACCGATTGTCATTCCGTTCCGTTGGGGGGGGGGGGGGGGTAAGGTCATCTTTTTTAGGTCATCCATTAAGTTGTTTTTTTTTAATTTTTAATTTGTAATTATTAAAAAAACATAATCAAAAAAAATATATATACACATAACAAAATCTGAAGGGGTGGGGGGTAACCCCCCCCCCCCCCCCCCCTGCGTACGCGCCTTTGTACATGTATACATTTTTACACGGCGATGACGTAATTTACCCGGATAAATATCACCCTGGCTCGTCTAGGGTGAGATTTACCTCGATATTGTCCGGACATTACCCCGATTGACGCGTCTTAATTGGAAGGGGGTAGATGTCGTCACGCGACTTTATTTTCCAATTAAGACGGGGTTTAAATTGCGTCTTAGATTATTTTGTTATAAAAATAGTGTTTTAGAGACATCGTCGATGTATAGAGTTAGTATACAATTGTTGACTTACCCATTCAATGTCATAGGGATAAGTAGGATAACTGAAGTCACATAAAATGTGATTTGAGGGAAGCCAATCTTATTCGTGTATGCGAATAGTCCATTGACGAGAAAGGGTGAACAGACAGCCATTAGACTCGTAGCAAAGGATAACAAGGCGAAATACATTCCTGGAAAGATAATACCAAACATAATTCCAGTCATCTGCGACTGATTGTGGCCTGAAACTTCCTTACTGACTTCCTCATGATGATACGTACATTTCGAGCATGATATGTTTTTGTTCCTGTAATATGTATAAAAAATCAATTATATGTTTCTTCTACTTATGTATCAGGAATTAAAATACTGTATATAAAAGCCAGCATTTTATTAATTAATTTCTTTCCAAAGATTTATGTTTTCAGCCCGTCATCGTAAAAAACGACATGATGAGGCGAATTACCAAATAACTATCAAAGGTCTCCGGAAGTTCTTAATATTAAACAAATATATATATATATATATATATATATATATATAACAACAAAAAACAAACGAACAAAAGAAACAGGCAAATAAGCACTGATCATGTGTCAATGAACTGAGTTCTTACCATGCTCTCTCTTTGAAACCGCTCTGGAAATGAGATCCTTGCAAACAGGTGAAGCAGTGGTTCTCATAAAGCTGACGACAGTTGCTGAAAATAGATATCAAAAGATTATAGGTAAATTTAAAGCGATACTGAACTGATGAATTTTCTGCCCTAGCGTATATTGTTTATTATACAGCGCCATCTCAAGGTCAACTTGCCAATGTAGTGCGTAACTCAATACATATTTTCCACTTCGCAGACAGGGGAATCGATGCGAGAACCAACAGCGCAGCTCGGGAAGCAGCTCGGGACCATACTGCGGTAGCTGACCTGAGATGGCGCTAGAGAGGATTTTTGGTGCTTCTAGTAAAGTATGATTGGGAGTGTCGTAATCGAATGGTTTAAGGCGCTTGACTGGAGATGTGAAGTTCGAGGGTTCGAATCCCGACAGGGCAGTAATATCCTTTGGTAAGAGAGAGAGAGAGAGGGAGAGAGGGAGAGAGGGAGGACGAATAATGCCGAGTGGTTAAAAAGGATTGTATAAATCCACTCGTCCAGTTTGATAATGCTACAACGCCATGAAGCACGACTCGGCTCCAAACTTCTAACCTCCATGCTTCAATGTGGAGTGGATTATTCGTACCCTCAATAAAACGGTAGCACTGCAATTAAGCCTGCAAGTAGACTAATCTCCAGTTATCTCCGTCTTTCTTTGGATTAGTTTACCTTCTCCGGACTCTAAGCAACTCGGTTTTTATTGGGGACAGGTAATACCCATTCCAAAGAGGAGACCGGATAAGAGCTTCAAATGAAATCTAACCTTGTTTACAAACTAATCTTACTAGAGGAAAGCAGAAAAATTAGAGAAGTAGACTGTGAAAGTTTTAATGATATCGGACCAAAAATTAGAAATTCATGAATTTTAAAAGTTGTAATCACTATAGATATGGGCTCTTCAAATGGGCTTAATTAGCAATGTCTCTGTGATGTAGTACTGGACAACTTTCCCATTTGTTTCAACACACACAATTTCAATCTTTAAAACATGTATGTCTCGGGGGGGGGGGGGAGCTATTATCAATAGAAGACCTACAATAACATGCTATCCATACAACGTTTTGAGTATAGTGCCCCAAGGGAGAAGGCAATTAGGAGAAAAACAGAAGTTAATGATAATTTTGTACACGACAAATCCACTGACCAAACTGCCAATTTGAGATTTACATAGACTTAACAGTGATCTCATATTTTAACGATATAACTTTCTTATTATTGGTCGGATTTATTTCAAACTTTCTCCATTTTGTTTTTCATATTTTTTGTTTTCATACAAAGTAACTTTATTACAAGGGTTAAATTGCCCTTTCAGAGCTCGTGATAGAGTGTGTTGTAATATAGCAAAAGTTGGGGAGTTGTACATGTTAGAAGTTTACACTACCAATGATGGCTAGCTGAACTGTATTCTGTGCCAATGCTGACGTCACTTTTTGGGCGATAGCAGAAATGAGCGAAAAATGGATGAGCCAGTATTCCGAAAAGCACCTCAGTAGTGGCCTCACAATGAGCGATGCAACTGGAGAGGAGAGAAGAAAAAAAGCCATAAAACAAACAAACCAACAAATAAATATATAAATACAATGTTGATAATATAGATGGTAATGATGATGATGATGATAATGATAATAATAATAAGAATACTAGTAGTAATGAAAGTAATGATCATTATAGTAACAATAATAACAGTTATAACAGTGACAATGAAGATATTAATACTACCACTACTAACAATAATAAAAAATAACAGCAATCATTATAACCAAAACAACAACAACAACAAAATACATATTTTTAATTAAAAAATACAACAAAATCCTAAATGAAAGGCTAGGCCGATGTGAAAACTTGATAATGACTTTAAAGAATACATGAGCAGCTATGAATTCTGAATTTAACCCTAATAAGGCCGGGGGCTATTATGCCCTCCCCATCCCCCTCCATGATATTCCTGATTTTTCGGAAGCGCATATGGATGGCGCCCCACCGCTCGCTGACTTTTCTCTTTCGTGTCTAGCTCATCTTTTAAAAGATTTTTTTTTGAAAATCGGACCTACAGTTAGAAGGTCACGTGACCTTTTGTCTTTGCATGTCAGCTCGAAAATCGCTCATTTTCGTGATTTGTGTACAAAACATATGAAAATGTCATTTTTCCTAAAAATAGATCAAACATTGGTTATTGGGTCTTGTTTAAAGTTCAGGTGGTTGTTTTGGGAGTCGAAATAGTTGAATTGTAGTTAAAAATGAAATTAAAAAAACAAAAACGATAACATACATAAGTTAAAAAAAAAATAAAATACATAAGAAATTATCAAAAAAGGAGATAACATTAGGAATACGCTGGCTCTTCCAATTTTTCTGTCGTATTATCATTCCAAATGGTCGAATGAATATATGTAGTGTAAAATAATGCTTAAATATATGATTTGTGAGTAAAAATGTGATTTTATGACATTATTTGCATAAATTACCCTAAATATGCAAATGAGTGACTTTTTCAAAAATTGAAATTATCATAGTATTGTATATACTTCACTTGACATGCGTGACAATTTTCGCGGAGATCGACTGTTTCACGGCCGAGATCTTAAGGGGGGCATAATGCCCCCCCCCTACCCTGGCCGTACTCAGACCTCAAATAGCCCGGCCTCTTTAGGGTTAAGACGTGGACTAGACTGTTTAACTTTAGTACTTTTTACTTGATCTTCATTATACAATGAAATGGTTTTTAAACGTATGGACAAATTTGATTGCTACAAACAAATTCAATCATGGAGGGGGGGGGGTGTTTTTTAAAAGTCAAATGAGTATGCCCCATAAACTCCCTTTTTCTTTCGTATACTCCCATTGAGACTAACCAATCTATTATGGCGCCCTACTACGAAAGTCCAGTGTTTACGTCTGAATCCTTATCTGTTACAAAAGTTATGAGGACCTACCTCCTGCAGGAAAGAGAGAGACAGCAGCAGAATAGTAGCCTACGATATCAGCTGTCCAACAAAATGGGCTTCCAAGACCATAGATGATGATAATATCGTGAAGACTCTCAATTACGAGATTTTGTAGGCAAACTATGGTGATCAGACACCACACCGTCCATCTTTCCTCCGACATCCTCCTGCTGAAGATGCCTCGGAGGTTCTTGAAACTTTTGCAGAGGACTTCCTTGGCATTGAAATGCTCTCGAGGGGGCATCGTCTCAAGGAGTACCCCTGGACATACTGTGTACGCTAGATTGATGACGGATAGTGCTACCGGCACTGCGAAACACACGGGGAAGTTACCGAGGTACCGTAGAAGCACACCACCAACAGCCTGGCCACAACCCCATCCTGCATATACGGCGAGTGATTGTAAAACTAATCTCTGTGTGCGGGTATTACCACTTGTAGAGTCCGCAATGTAAGCAGTACAGACAGTAATTGCTGCCGATGTGTCACCACAGACTCCTAACGTTATGGCTGCGAGGAAGGTCACGGCAAGGGGCAGCCTCATCACAGAAACAAGGAGATAGATTAGAGACGCAATGAGGTGACCGGTCGCTGAAAATATCAGAATGGGTTTCCGACCGATGAAATCCGAAGTAGCAACCAGAACAGATGCAGTAAGGATGGGTATGAAGGTCGAGATGCTTGCTAACCACATAACCCACAGTGCTGTCTCAGAGTTGATCTGGACTTCAAGGGGGTTGGACACGTTCGGAAGTGAGCAATTGCCATCTTGTTGAGGAAGCAAGTTGTACTCATAATCACTGGCGAGAGTCTCTCGAAAGTAAAGTGTACGGAGGGTAGTGAGCATCCCTTGAATTGCCAAAATAAGAAAATTGATGGGTTCAGTCGCTATGTATCTGGCCTTACTGATTTCCTCTACGGCGTCCATTCTGAAATTAGCAAGCAAACACGAACAATGAGAGACGATATTTAACAGTATGAAGAGTACTACGTAGAGCCTTTTTTATGCACTTTTTCTGTTCCCATAGTCCACTAATTGCAATGACGAACCTTCGTCATTGCCTTGTTTTCGTTCACGTTATTAATTGCAATGACGACCTTCGTCATTGCCTTGTTTTCGTTCACATTCTGCCCCATTAATATACTTATCCTCCTCCTTATCGTCCGGAATCCCATTCGTTTTGCACGTAGTGTTTGTTATTCCTAGTTAGGTGCTTTCCTCAAGTCCTTTTCCTTTCAAATTTCGTAGGCATCATCTCTAGCATCTCACCAAGGTCACCTACTTTTTCGATTTTCGAAATCACTCATGCATAACCGTCCAGGCGCCATTTTGTCCGTTTCTGGTCCATTTTAAGCCCTTTCTATCTTCCTTCCTATCTCCACTATCCTAGATCCTACAAACTTCTAACAAATTCCTCTAGATAGTCTGAGAGATGTTCTTTCATCTGCGACGTATGACTTGACCTTCAAAATGCCATCTTCATACTCGAAATTCAAATCTAAAACCGACTCCGTCAAAAATCTCTCAAGTTCTTGAAAAATGGACCCCTAAATAATCTAAAACTGCCATAACTTTCTCATATAAATTCCGTTTTGTATTTAAATCTCACAGTATCTTTATCTCATAATTGCACATAGCCATGCCAAATTTCACGCTCCAATGGCTTTGCACAACGTAAATAGCGCCCTCTAAAGTTCTGGGAATTGGCTTTCTCTCTGTGGCCGTATCTCCATAATGGCTTGGCAAACCCGTACCCTTTTTTGGATTTAGATACTTGAAGATATGCCCTTTCCAGCCATATACAAAATTATATACCCTATCACTGACCAAATTTGAGAAAATTGCCCTCCAAATTCGCCATTTTCAAGAAAATTGAGAAATAACTTCAACTTGCTCTAAAATGGCGATCGTTATACCTACATCAATGAAACTTGGCACACATATGTATCCATATACGTGACAACTGTTTACAAAGTTTGGTAAAATTCGAATATGTCAGCGCAAAGTTATCGCCAAAAATGATTAATTTACTATGGATTACGTAATAGCGCGTTCAATGCGCGCAATACATTGCGCGCAGTTAACAATGGTGTCAAACTGACCGCAATGAAGTGCCCTTTCGGATGATACCAAGTATTATATATGTTCACACAGAAAATTGTGAGTAAATCGCATTTGAACAAAGATCACTACACGAATTCCGCCGAGTTTCCGCCCGAACCTAACACGTTTCGGCTATGACGTCATTTTTTCAGACTGCTTTTCGCCCCTTAAACGTCCTTTTTTTTCCTTGAAAATTTGCAGTGACATGCCGAGTTCCAATACGCAGGGCACCTCTTGGCCGGATTTTTGAAATTGGTCAAGGGGGCCATTCAAGACGCCATTTCGTTCTATAAATCTATTTTACATCACGTGTTTCGATAGGATTATCATAGATAAAAAGAGAGTAATTAACAATAACAACCATGAAATTCTCTTTCTAATGATACCAAATACGGCCTATAAAGAGACATAAAGAGAGAGAGAAAAAACAATTTAACTCCGGTCATAATACAGATCCTGGACGTTTTCCGCCCATTCATTACACGCATTGTCTATGGGGCATATCGGGTTCACGCTTTTGGCCCCCAGAACGATGTTTATTGCAATGACGAACATGCACCAAATCCCCTTGGTTTTTGCACGCAGTGTTTAGTAACTCTTTCTAGGTTCTTTCCCCTATCCCAATTTCTTACAAACTTCGTAGGCGTAGTCATTACCATGCCATCAAGGTCACTCTTGAGGCCTTTCTTTCGCCCTACCTATCTCCAATATCACAGAAGCTACAGACTTCGAACAAATTGCTCTGGATAGTCCGAGAGAAGCTCTTTCGTTTGACACGTAGAAACATGGAGTCATTGCACGCACATCGTTGTGACACGATTGCATTTCTAGTTTGGATTTAGATACTTGAAGATATGCCCTTTCCAGCCATATACAAAATTATATACCCTTACACTGACCGACTTTGAGAAAAATGCCCTCCAAATTCGCCATTTTTGAGAAAATTCCAAAATAACTTCAACTTGCTCTAAAATCGCGATCGTAATACCTACATCAATGAAACTTAGCAGACATATGTATCCATATACGTGACAACTGTTTACCAAGTTTGGTAAAATTCAAATATGTCAGCGCAAAGTTATCGCCAAAAATGATGAATTTACTATGGATTACGTAATAGCGCGTTCAATGCGCGCAATACATTGCGCGCAGTTAACAATGGTGTCAAACTGACCGCAATGAAGTGCCCTTTCGGATGATACCAAGTATTATATATGTTCACACAGAAAATTGTGAGTAAATCGCATTTGAACAAAGATCACTACACGAATTCCGCCGAGTTTCCGCCCGAACCTAACACGTTTCGGCTATGACGTCATTTTTTCAGACTGCTTTTCGCCCCTTAAACGTCCTTTTTTTTCCTTGAAAATTTGCAGTGACATGCCGAGTTCCAATACGCAGGGCACCTCTTGGCCGGATTTTTGAAATTGGTCAAGGGGGCCATTTAAGACGCCATTTTGTCCTATACATCTATTTTACATCACGTGTTTCGATAGGATTATCATAGAAAAAAAGAGAGTGGTTTACAATAACAACCATGAAATTCTCTTTCTAATGATACCAAATACGGCCCATAAAGAGACGTAAAGAGAGAGAGAAAAAACAATTTAACTCCGGCCATAATACAGATCCTGCACGTTTTCCGCCCATTCATTACACGCATTGTCTATGGGGCATATCGGGTTCACGCTTTGGGCCCCCAGAACGAACTTGATTGCAATGTCAAACATGCACCAAATCCCATTGGTTTGTGCACGCAGTGCTTGCGAGCCCTTTCTAGGTTCTTTCCCCTATCCCAATTTCTTTCAAACTTCGTAGGCATAGTACCATCCCATCAAGGTCACTGTTGATGCCTTTCTTTCGCCCTACCTGTCTCCAATATTACAGAAGCTAAAGACTTCGTACAAATTGCTCTGGATAGTCCGAGAGAAGCTCTTTCGTTCGACACGTAGAAACACGGCGTCATTGCACGCACATCGTTGTGACACGATTGCATTTCTAGTTTGTTTTCTTGTTTTCCTTTAGATGTCTTTCATCGTTTCCTTCTCTAGATCTACATGTTAAGTACAATTCCCTTTATAATACACTGCTGTACTCGTACCCCGATTCGGTCTAGTCTAGACTCTTCGCGAGCGGTTTCATTGGAATTAATCGAGAAATTCCCCTCGCTGCCGTGTAAATAAAAAATACGCGGCCCGCGTACACATAGGGGACGCATGGGAGACGCACAGCCGGCGCATTGAAAATCGGAAAAGTCGTAAGCCCGACTTTTGTCAGGATTTGGAAGAAGCTAGCGAGCTGACACCGAATGCATGCATGTTGCTAGCGCACTGCTTGTATACAGGGCGTGTGTTCCGCGTATGTCTGACGTTTGTCTAGCGAGCTCCGCGCATGTCTGGCGTCCTTTTGGCGTGTACATTCATGCGTCGAGCTCCGCGCACACTTTTGAACATGCTCGAAAAATCCCGACGCACACGGCGAATGACGACGGACGCATATCGTTGGTCCAGCGTTGGTCCAGCGCGCTCGACGAACGAGTAACGAATGATGACGCACACTTAGCGAACGACAACGCACTGCCCAAAATTGCAAATTTCCAATGCGCTGGCAGTGCGTCCCCCATGCGTCCTCTATGTGTGACCGGGCCTTTAGAAACTGATTAACACTGAATATGAAAAAGAGACAAGCAAGTGACAGGCAAATACATGACAGAAGAATAAGCACAGAAGTAAATCTGGCTTCTCCGAATAAAATGTCGTACATAAGACTACGCACATAAAAGTGTCTAGTTCGTATATAACAAAAATACCAGCTGAGCTATTATTACTTTAATATCAACCTCAGAAATTCAAGAATTTGACATTTGGCCCATTGAAACACAAATTGTATACACCACCTCAGGTGTGTGTATGGCATAACAAGGAAAACACAAAGGGAATCAAAGAACACATTAATCAATGCTTTTGACCACGGCATACACAGAAAAAGACTTTAAAAAAAACATACATTGTTCCTATACTTTGCGAACATGATGAGCAAAAATATTGCAATCTCTTGATTTGCCTTTGCCCCCCCCCCCCCCACCCCTCCCCGTTCGAGATGTGGATTTTACATGCGTTAATGCGACGTACAAATGACACCCATGAAAATGCATGGGTTAAACAGAATAGTAAAATCAACTTTGATTTTGTTTTCCTTTTTTCTTCAAATTTTTCATTTTATTAAATATTAAATCAAGCTGATCGTTCGGTGATTTGTACATTCTTTCAGATCTTCCTTCTTTGGCAATGGTATAAAAACAGCTCTACACCAGTCCTTAGGCAACTCCCTCCTGTTCCAGCTATTGCAACAGAGACGCCACAGGTCAGTACCTTCTTCACCTGTAGCCTTCCACACCTAAGAATTACTAATTTTTACACACCTCAATATCACAGATTCACAGCTTAGATTATTAAGCAGTTAGAGTCACGTAATCTTCACCACAGAGATTATGGTAACTTTTACCACCATTAAAAAGGTGTTTAAAGACACCTAAGAATTACTAATTTTTAACACCCAAATATCACGGATGCCCAGCTTAGATAAGTAATCAGTTTGAGCCACGTGATCATCACCATTAAAGTTATGGTAACTTTAAAACCATTTAAAAAGGTATTTTAAGACACCTAAGAATTACTAATTTTTCACACCTAAAAATCACGGATTCACAACTTAGATTAGTAATCAGTTAGCAGTGGCAGATTCAGGGTGGCACAGGGGGGCAGTTCCCCCCCCCCCCGGTAAAAAAAAAAAGGGAGAAAAGGAGAAAAAGGAGGGGGACAGAAATAGGAGGGGGAAAAGAAAGAAAAGGAAAGAGAGAAATAAGAAGAAAAGAGAGAGGAGAAAAGGGAGGGGGAAGGAAGAAAGTGGAAAAGAGAGGAGAGAAAAGGGGG